AAGCCCTCCCGTAACATAGGACGGATCTAAAAAAGGAGAGATTTTTACATAGGCAATGGAGAAAGTGCCCCTCCAGGAGCCAGACACACGACAGCCCAACAATCTACTCCCTTCTGCAAGGTGAGCTTCAAAAGGATCCGTGGCACATGTATAAATTTCCAAAGGGGACAGTAAAGGAGAAACAAATTCCTACCAAATCCTTAGAGCAGGGACCCACTTTCCATTGAAAAAAGCCAGCCAAGGGCTCTCATCTTCCTACAAATGCTGTATGTATTTGAACAAAGATTTACTTCCCATTTAGTGAGAGTGAGCAGCAAGAGCTAGAGCTAACTGCAGCCTCACTAATGGGCTGCTTTGAAAGGTTTCAGAGTAGCAGCCGTGTTAGTCTGTATCCTATTCGTAAAAAGAAAAGGAGTACTTATGGCACCTTAGAGACTAACAAATTTATTAGAGAATAAGCTTTCATGAGCGACAGCTCACTTCATCGGATACAGACTAACAGGGCTGCTCTGAGACACCGTTTCCAGTCACTGTATGATGGAAGGCAGGACAAGGGTAAAACAGTACACAGGGCATGCCAGGGAAAGTGCACAGAGAACCAGTTTAAAGAAAGCTTGGTCTGGATACCTGGTCCTGCAAACATGGGTGCAAGCAGAGCTAATACACAGGAAGACATGAAAACAACATTTTCTTTCAATGGTTAAAAACACCAGGAGCACGGGAGAATCCCGGAGAGCCACCAATTCACCCAGTGCTCCCCTCTTACAGCTGCCCCCAACATCATCAAAGGGAGGAAATGAGAGGTGCAGATAGATACATGTTACAAGAACTGCCCACTCGAAGACTTGGCCATTCCCAGCCCTTCAAAGAACAATGGGGTGTTAAAGGTAACAGGTAGACTGTGGAAGAGGCCACAGTCAGGCAAGTTCCCACAAGCCCATCAGCAAGGCCCATTCACATGTCCATGGCAGCATGTGCGGGTTGTAATACAGATCGTAATGCATCTGTGGGAACTTTCACTCAGACGTTCTCCCAGCTTCTGTCTACAGTCTCAGGACACAGGAAAACACGGGCAGCAAACAGGAACATGCTCAAGCCTAAGAGGTGGCAAGCACTGGCCAGAGAGACAAAAGAAGGGGTTTCAAGGTAGCAACAGTTCTAACACCACGCACTATCCTGGCCTAGCCAGGAACTCCCTTAGCTTCCTCCCCACATAAAATAGAAAATGCAGCACTCTATCCTCAGAAAGGGCAGGACACTCCTGCCAATTTGCTCCAGCTGCTCCCAATTTCAGAGAGGAATGGAGCAGACATTCCACCCATTGCTCCCTTTGAGGTAAGGGCCACTTAGCCATACTCCTTTGGAAAGGCCACCCTCTGATAGACAGCAACGTAAGCCTTTCAACATTCACGCCATCCAACATTCTTACCCACTTTTGCAAAGCCCTCTGCTCAAGGTCAGGGTTTCCCTGTTGCACTGGAAGAGAAGAGTCCATTGTAAGTTTCCGTAGAGCATGAGAAAGAGAGGAAAGTGACCTCTCTGGAAGAAATTTCATCTGTCTCAGAATGCAGCCCCCTTTTTCCAGAACACCTCCAGACCCATTTGCTCCTATGACATGAGTTTCAGCCCAACAGGAAGAGAGTCAGCAAGGTGGGGAGGCAGGGACTGGACACCCTCTAACAGGTCTTTTCCCCTGTTAATTACTCGACCCTTGGCCTGGTTTTCAGAGGGCTGAGCACCCAGGCATCCCAGTTAAATCAGCGGAAGCTGTATGTGATCAGCAGCCTAAGGGAAAAAATCTGTCCAAAAGCCTATGACCCTAATATGCTGTTACCCCGGACACAATACACTCGACAGCAGCGTTCTATGAGAAAACGAACACCCTCCAAACAGAGCCACATAAACCATTCCACAGCTTTCCCTGGAACATAAGAATGGCTCTACTGGGTCAGACCAAGGGTCCATCTAGCCTTGAATCCTGTTTTCCGACAGTGGCCAGTGCCAGGTGCCCCAGAGGGAATGAACAGAACAGGTCATCATCAAGCAATCCATCTCCTGTCGCTCATTCCCAGCTTCTGGCAAACAGAGACTAGGGATGCCACTGATGGACCTGTCCTCCATGAATTTATCTAGTTCTTTTTTGAACCTTGTTATGGTCTTGTCCTTCACAACATCCTCTGGCAAGGAGTTCCACAGGTTGACTGTGCATTGTGTGAAGAAATACTTCCTTTTATTTGTTTTAAGCCTACAGCCTATTAATTTCATTTGGTGACCCCTCGTTCTTAGTGTTATGAGAAGTAGTAAACAACACTTCCTTATCTACTTTCTCTACACCAGTCATGATTTTATAGACCTCAATCATATCTCCCCTTAGCCGTCTCTTTTCCAAGCTGAAAAGTCCCAGTCTTCTCAATCTCTCCTCATACGGAAGCTGTTCCATACCCCTAATCATTTTCGTTGCCCTTTTCTGAACCTTTTCCAATTCCAACAGCTGCTGTCCGTGTTCCTAAATCTATATGGCTCCATCTAGTTTGTTAATGGGTGTCCAGAGAAGCCAATGTGACTTGAGCAGATCTGCTAGGGACCCAATGGATTGATTCCAATGGAAGATAACGGACAACTTTTTCAGCCTCCCTACTCAATCTGGACACCCATTAACAAACCAGATGGAGCCATATAGGTTTAGGAACACTGACAGCAGCTATTCTGTACCACACCGCCCCCTTCTCCCATGACACTTTGAGACTCATTTGCTCCTGTTACATGAGTTGAGGAAAGTTCCCAAAAATGACCAGATGGCTCACAGGAGCAAGAATGGGTTGCAAGAGCTTTTCACTTCCAGGTCACTGGTTCAAATTCAGCCTAGCCTGGTAGTGAAAGGAGATTGCCACCACCTGTTTGATGATCCCTTTGTGAAATAAGTCAGGGGAGCTCACCACCGTTTTTTAGGAGACTGGTGACCACATCATCAAGGCAACAGGCATTTAATGGCATTTGGATTGACAGTATCAGCTGTGTGCTGAAAAGATCATGGAGATGCAACACCTAGGTATCTCTCCTATGAAAATAAAGAGAGGACTTATTTATTCAGGACTGCCCATCACCAGCACAAAAGGGTTTCCCCATGGCACCTCAGCAAAGGTAAGGGACTCCGGAAAGGAGGCACAAAGCATCATTGGAAAGTGCTTCACAGAAACATCCAAGGCACTGCTAAACTATTCATCACCTGGATTGTTATGAGGGTATAACACACTTCTAAGGGCTGATTTACAAAGAGACCCAAAAAGTGCGGAAGGCTTCCCTGGAAAACATGATGCACAAGGCCATTGACCCATGAACACGCCAAGAGGAAGACGGTGACAGCTGCAGACACAGTCTATGCTCTGAAACACCAATGCCGCACTTCATGCTAATTTGGTGGCTGAAACCTCAGATTAAGACTAAAATATTACCATAAAAAAAGCCACCAAACCAACCCTCTTTGGATTAAGAGAAGGTCTGAGCGGCAGAGAAGGCGTAACAGCAAGATCTATCCCAACAGGGAGTAGGATGAGAACTGCAACAGGCTGTTCAACTGAAGACTCCTGCACCCTGAGTCAACGACAGAGTCCCAGAAACTCCATTTGTAACGAGGAGATGGACTGTTTGGCAGAAGAGTTCGACTACACACAGAGCAAGTCACTTTCATGCACAGGACGGACGTCTGCAGTCAAACCACTAGTTGTTAGCACAGAGAGCGTGAGGAACCTGAAATTCCCTGCAGCTATGCTTGTAAGATCCACTCAAGTCTGAGCAACAGTTGAAGTCTGCAAAGAACTGACACAGCCATTGACAGCTGCAAAAGAGGAGGGGCAAGTCTTATGAAAAACTGAGCAAGACCTATCGGAACTGGGCAACTCTCTCTCCCTTCTCATGTTCAACAACTGAGCAGAATTAGCGCTAATGGGAGAATCTAGAATGCAATGCGGGAAAGTTTGCTGAGCTATTTGATCCATGACCACCTTCCCCGTTGGGGCAGCGCATGCCGAGCAAAAACGTAGATCCCTGAACTAGCCCAGTACCCCCAAATCAACATCATGGAGTTTCAAGGGAAAACCCACTACCCAGAATATTTCAAAGTGTTTGCCCCCAACACCAAGAAACCCTGACTTTACCTAGCACATAATTCCTTCCCGTTGTGCACACCCCCAGGAACCCACACATCAATTTTGTTCTGATTCTTTCCCAGTGGAAATTGAAGCCAATGTCATTGATGGATACCTCAAAGCTCCCTCAATACCATCACGCCCCCTGCTGGGAAGAAGACACTTGTCAGGACTCGGCCCTGAAAGAATGGGATTTAAAGGGTGTACCGGGTGCTACTATGGAATGCTCTGAAGGTTCTTTACAAAACCCCAGAAGACAACACGGCAGAGCACGCGCATGCCCACACACCCCATGCTGTAACTAGGCTTGCTGTGCTGAAGAGGTCCACGCAGCCAAATGTGAGCGACCTCTATAGAACTACAGGGATCTCCTATGGCTAAGCCAGCACCTGGGCAATCACTAGCTGTGCACAGAAACAATTCTTATTTCACTCCTCTTGGCTGGTCCCTGGGCCTGTCTATCTTAAAACTGGACTCTCTGGCTTAGGCTGAGAACTGTTCCTCTCTCCTCCTCCTCACTTTGCAGGAGGAAGTAATCCAAATCACAACCAGCGAGCAATGTTCAACTGGCCAGTTACTAAGAGAACAGCGATAACTGTCTGAGTACCTGGCTAATTTAATTGACACTCCCCCGTCCCCAACCATAAACCTAACCTTGTACCATTCGCTCATGCAGGAAAGATTATTATTGATTCCTGGTGCACACATAACCAGCCTTGCAGAACGTGTTCAAACAGAAACAGCGCCCTCTTGTGGCATTCACCAAGCAAACAGCACTGTAGCTCACTGCAGTTCTACCGACAATTCCCTTGTATAACGAGGAGCAAAACCCAAAGAACACAGAAAGCACCTTACCTTAGCCCCTTGCTCGTCCACTGAATTACTACCTGCCAGCAAAACAGAAGAAGAAGAAGAAGTCAGTCACTTTCTCAGCCAACACTGCAACATGAACACTGTTACAAACAGAAAAGGAGTACTTGTGGCACCTTAGAGACTAACCAATTTATTTGAGCATGAGCTTTCGTGAGCCACAGCTCACTTCATCAGATGTGTCATCTGATGAAGTGAGCTGTGGCTCACGAAAGCTCATGCTCAAATAAATTGGTTAGTCTCTAAGGTGCCACAAGTACTCCTTTTCTTTTTGCGAATACAGACTAACACGGCTGTTCCTCTGAAACCTGTTACAAACAGGTACCAGACCCATGTGTACATCTGGCCACATTACATGTTTGAAGGCCTCAACATAACAAACAGATCTCTGCAGACAGCAGAGAAACTCCCTCTCACTTCCCCGGCCGGAGAAGTTGTGGAACAAGATGTCCCTGCCTTCCCACTTTGTTCAGATCAAAAAACACCCAATGCAAATCAGCGATGTGGTCATTCCATTAATTTGTGAGAGACTTTGTGCAATAAGTAGAGCATTAAGTGATGGTAGTGCTCAGGAAGGGTTCCATCTTGACAGCTCTGGAAACGGAAGACTACATTCTAAACAGACTGTAATAGTACAGACTGTCTCACTAATGGGCCTCAGTTCTATGCCAGAGATATCAATGCTAAGTTTCCAGAAAAACATTTTTAAAATTGCCATTAAAATACAAGAACCCCTTAAAAAAACCCCAGCAGTCTTGGTACTGTGTTGGGATATCAACTAACTCCCTTCCTGGCTAATCTGACTGGCCAGACACCTTTTGCATGAAGGTCGGATACTACAGTGATGTGTGTCATGTAAGTATCTAGACAGACCAAGAAAGGGAGGTTTAGTGGATTAGACTGCAGGCTTTCGGGGCTAAGGACCATACCTATGTGTGTTTGTACAGCATCTAGCACAATAATGCCTAGCTTTATTTAGTGCTCTGAGATCTCAAAGTAATTTATGTAGCACTCATAAAAGGAATGTCAGGGTTAGATTTCCCATGCTGTGTTCCTTTAAGAACTGAATATCTGATGAGTCTGGGGGTATACCATTTACAAAGGAGGTCAGTACCATTAGCTCCCCTTCTACAGATGGGGTCCTGATCCTGACTGGGATCTCTGAACACCATGGTAATATAAATAATAAAAATGGAAAGAACAGAACTCCTGGGTTCTATTCCTGACCCTGCTACCGACTTGTTGTGTAGCAAGCCATTGGCATGCACCGTAAGCATCTATACAATAGGAATAATTATCCTTCACAACCTTGCAAAGGTGTTGTGAGCTTAGTTTTTGTAAAAGACTTGAGATCCTTGGAAGAAAGGTAATAAAAATATAGCCAGTTATTGGGCAGGGGGAATCAGCTGCTAGAGAATAATCAGAAAGGCACTGAGAATAACACATTTGCTGGGATTTTTATAGAATTGTTAATACATTTCTATCCCAAATGGATTGGAACAGCTTACCAAAAATATAGATAACTGCTATCCCGCTACCAGCTCCCATTAGCCCTGCTATCCGGAGCACCATTTTCTTGGCATAGGCTGTATTTTCCTTCTGTTTCTTCTCCTGCTGCTCATCAGAACTGGACCCTTTCCCATCTCCTCCCTCTGTTGACTACCCATGGAGGGTGGGAAAAAGAAAAGATTTAAGTTATCAGGTGTGAAAGTTACAGAAGTTAGGGTTCATAGCTACAGAGAAGAGAGCCACACACAGGTAAATAATTAACTCACTGGACTCAAAACCTCTAGGGAAAAATTCCACTGGCCTTTCTGTTTAGTACCAGAACGTGATTATAGAACCTTTTACAGAACTCCCCGTGAAAGGAATAAAGAAAGCAATTAACATAATCAGAGAAACTAAAGATGGAAAGGATCCATTACATCATCTAGCCAGAGATCGGATTAGCAAATTCTTCAGCCTTTACTGTATAGACAGTATCCTTCAAAATGTGAAATGACTAAGTCAATATAGTGGAGTCTGCCTGAATATGCAGACTGCCTGAAACAACAGCTATAAAAGGAGCATTAACTGCTTCATTTATCCAAAGGGAACTCTGAATCCTAATGAGGCAATTAAATGTCAACAACGTTACCTATTTTTATTCGGATCAAGCATGCAAGAGGAAGATTTGTGCAATCCACCCAGCATGGCTCCTTGTGATGGGGTTGCTAGAGTAAGTACCACCATTTCCCCCTCCCCATTCTGACCCTACGTCTAGTCCAGCCATCGCAGCCTGGGAAAGACTGGTCTCCCCTAAGGTTTCCCTGCACTATTAATGAGGCACAAACACAAACTGTCAAATGCTGTGCCAACCGAAGAAAAGACCCTGACCTCGAGAAAATAGCATCAGACTTGCAAACTTTTCCCTCATCCACTTGTTTGGGGAGAGTAAAATACAAGGTTTTTTCATTAGTGATCAGATGTCCTGGCAAAGGGCAGGGGAGTGGGGTTTTGTGCTTAGCGTGGTAAGTTTTCATAACAATTTTACAAGACTGCTTTAAAGTCCTGTTACCAGGGTACTTTCCCCTTACGTTTTGGAGGGTTAAAATGAACCACTGGGGAAACGTTTGCCCCCGAGCCTGAAATCTGAATGCCAAGTCCTAACCAGAATACAATTTTGTTTAGCAACCATTTGAGAGAGCCGATATTTTAAACCTGGAACAACTATAAAACCAGCAATAGGTCTGTTTTTTACTCCCGTGGTTAAAGGTCGAATGGCACTGTAAAGGCTAATACCCCACTGAAACGCAGGACGGAAGAATATGACTACCCAAGCAGAAATATGGTCACAAGACCAAGATTAAACACCCAGCTGCCTTTGTGAAAACTACCATAAGAACTGTAATGCTTCCAGGTGGTCAAGACTTCTGGGCTAGATCTCATTTGAAAAAGAGCAACCTCCCTGTACCAGCCAGAACTCCCTAGTACCATGTCAGGGAACTGAGGTTGGCACAGGCAGATGAGCACATCCCCCATTGAGATACCCACACATCTCCCTGCGGCGCCCCGAGTTTTTCCTGGTTGCTTCTCCTCCAAACACTGACCAGACCAAACCATGCGAGATGCAACAGGCAAACCTTCCGGGATGTGCCAGTGCCAAGGGGGACAATACAGTGACAGTGAGTAAGAATGCTCTCCCATCCCACATTTCCGTGGAACATCCTAATTTCCACAACCTGCTTGTGGGATGTTTTGGGGTCTTGGCATTAATTCTGGAGCCTGAGACACACCGGGTTGTGAGAGGACAAAGCTGACACTGCCAAGGACTCTCAAGTACATTTCAGCAGCGCCACCTTGTGACAGCCAGGTAGAGACCCTGATGACCTTTCTGCTGAGGTCATGCCTGCCTCTCAATGCCAAGTGGTGGCCATTTCTGACAGTATACCAGACAGGGTCTTGTCCCATCCAGTGACAACTCCCCTTGTCCCTAAACCTGCCCCCAAGCTTGCCAACTTCATCATACCCTATCATCAAACCTGCCTTTCAACTCCCCACAAGCCATCCTCCCAACCAATTCACAACCTCCCTCTCCGCTTTTCCTTTCCCACCACTTCCCAGCCCCACTTCCCTTTGGATGGCAACCTACCAGCCTTCCCCCTCACAACCCCCACAACCATGCCCTTCCCAGTCCTCAACCCCCTCCCCACTGACAACCCCCCCACACCCTAATCCCCTCCCAGCCATTTCTGATCCTTCCCATTAACAACCCACCTCACCACCCTTCCCCATTCCCCCACTCACTGATAACCCCATCTCTCCCTCCCTCCACCCCCGAATGCCCCTATCCCAAGCTCCCTCAACCATTTTCTAGTGTCCTCTCCTCTCCTCCCCTCCCCTCCCGCCACATACACTCCACCCTCGGTTGTAATAACTTGGCCAACAGATTTACCCCAATGGTGAGTTTATCTGTAAAAAGTGAGGGTACGCTCATAAGAGATCACAATAACCTGAAACATCAAGTGTTGACGGGAAAAGGTATGAAAAGGAGACAGAAAGACTGAACGAGTCCGAACAAAAAGGCCGGCTGATGTAACTCAAGGCTTGTGGTAAGATAATGCCTGGTAAACAAGGTGAGCGTAGAACCAGAAATCAATGAACCAAAACTGGTGTGTTGAAAAGTAGGCCAACCCCCCCCACCACAGCCCCCCTTCCCACACCCCCAACCTTCCCCCCACCACAGCCCCCCTTCCCACACCCCCAACCTTCCCCCCACCACAGCCCCCCTTCCCACACCCCCAACCTTCCCCCCACCACAGCCCCCTTCCCACACCCCCCATCCCCCAACCTTCCCCCCACCACAGCCCCCCTTCCCACACCCCCATCCCCCAACCTTCCCCCCACCACAGCCCCCTTCCCACACCCCCAACCTTCCCCCACCACAGCCCCCTTCCCACACCCCCAACCTTCCCCCCACCACAGCCCCCTTCCCACACCCCATCCCCCAACCTTCCCCCCACCACAGCCCCCCTTCCCACACCCCCATCCCCCAACCTCCCCCCACCACAGCCCCCCTTCCCACACCCCCATCCCTCCCCCCACCACAGCCCCCCTTCCCACACCCCCAACCCCCCGACACCCTCCCCCCCAAAGAGCAGCCCCGCCCCCTCCCCTCTGGCCCCGCCCCCTCACCTGCTGGTGCTGCCGTAGCTTGTCCTGCAGCAGCGCCTCGGCCAGCCCCACCCCCGCGCCCTGCGGCGGCGCCCCCGCGCTCAGGGCCCGGCCCGGGGCCGCCCGGGGCCGCCGACAGCAGCCGCCCCCCAGCGCGCGGACCCCGCACGCCGCCGCCACAACCAGCCCGCGAGCCGCCGCCGCCGCCATCTTCCTCCCCCCCCCGGAGCGCAGCGCGCAGGCGCCGGGTGCCGCCTCCCGCCCAATCGGAGCGCTTCGAGCCCAGCCCGCCAATCCACGCGCGAGGGGAGGTCAGGCCGCTGCCGGGGAGATTGAAAAGTAGCGGGGGAGCTCAGCCAATCAGAGGAAAAGGCAGTGAAGGCAACGCCCACACCGCGGCCTTCCACCAATCAGACATCAGGGTGACCCTGACCCCGCCTATCTTGGCTAGGCAGACCAATCGCAAGCGACAGAAGGCCGGCACCGGGCTCTGAGGGAGACAGGCCGGCAGACCAATGACAAACCATAGGAGGCGGAGCTAAGAGGGCAGACCCAACCCATCACAAGACACGCCCGCCCTGCGCAGGCCGCTGCCGCCCCAGCCAATCAGAGCGGGGGGAGAGCGAGAAGAACGGAAGGCGGCGAAGGTCAAATGAGGCACTTGGGCTGCTGGCGCCCTTCGCGCTGTCTGAAGCTGGGAGGAAAGGCTGCGGCGAGCGAGGGGCGGGTTGGAGGTGGATGGGGGCAGTGGAGGGAGGAGGCAGGTGGGGGGGGGGGAGGTTGGGGCAATGGAGGGGGAGGGGGATGGGGATATGAGGGAGGGGGAGGGGGATGAGGAGGGGGAAGGGAGGTTGGGGCAATAGAGGGGGAGGGGGATGGGGATATGAGGGAGGGAGGGGGATGGGGAAGGGGGAAGGGAGGTGGCAGTTGGGAGGGGGGAAGGCAGGTGGGGGGGGAGGTTGGGGCAATGGAGGGGGAGGGGGATTTGAGGAAGGGAGGTTGGAGGTGGATGGGGGGAAATGGGAGGATGGGGATTTGAGGGGGGAGGTTGGAGGTGGTGGGGGCAATGGGAGGAGGGGTGGGGGAAGGGAGGGGGATTTGAGGAAGGGGGAAGGGAGGTTGGAGGTGGATGGGGGGAAATGGGAGGATGGGGATTTGAGGGAGGTGGGGGGAGGGAGGGGGAAGGGAGGTTGGAGGTGGATGGGGTTGGGGGGAAATGGGAGGATGGGGATTTGAGGGAGGTTGGGGCAATGGAGGGAGGGGGAAGGGAGGTTGGAGGTGGATGGGGTTGGGGGGAAATGGGAGGATGGGGATTTGAGGGAGGGGGAAGGGAGGTTAGAGGTGGATGGGGAATAGGTGGGGCAGTGGAGGGAGGAGGCAGTTGGGAGAGGGGAAGGGAGGTTGGGGGCAATGGAGGGAGGGGGGATTTGAGGGAGGATGGAGGTGGATGGGGAATTGGTGGGGCAGTGGAGGGAGGTGGATGGGGATTTGAGTGGGGGGAAGGGAGGTTGGAGGTGGACGTGAAATTTGTGGGGCAGTGGAGGGACGTGGATGGGGATTGGAGGGGGAGAAAGGAGGAGATGGGAGGTGGATGGGGAATTGGTGGGGCAGTGGAGGGAGGATGCAGGTGGGAAGGGAGGTGGATGGGAGGGGAGGGAGGAGGGGTTGGGGATAAGAGGGAGCGAGGGGGCTGATGGGGAGACTAGAAGGTAACGAAGGCGGAGCAGTGTGGTAGCAACATTCCCCCCGCAGCACAACACTGATCCTTTCCCAGGTCCCACTAGCACTTCAGCTCTGGCCCTTGTGTACTACCTCCTCCTCCTCCCCACTTTTTCCACAGTTTTTGGCACACTCCTAGCAGCTGGGCACAGGCCCAGGCTACAGGATTTTTGATGCAACAGAATCAGAGCGTTCACTAGAATTAAAACCTTTGACCCACTTCAGTGCAAAGGATGGGGGGCTTCCTCACCTATGACAGTCTGAAGCTTCCATTCTGAGAGATGTGGAACACTCCATTCTTCTCTCTGCGTTGTTCGCTCTGAAGTCTAGTGATGGCACTTTAAAGATCATTTTCACAAGCTGTGGCCACATGCACTTACATGCCAAATATGTGCTCCTGTTGTAAACAGCCTGTGGATCGAGGAGATTGTACAGTCCAAACTTTGCAACCACAGCCTGAATGCATTTAAATTATCTTGCTCCACCCCCTGAATTGACAGTGGAGGAAATAATATTCCTCACGCCATGTTAGAAGTGGTTCAGGAGAGTTGACTGGACCTTCTTCCAAAGCTGCCCAGTCCAAGCCCAGGCATGGCTTCCCTGCAGGACTGGGTGAAGTGATCCCTCCCTGCTTTTCTGTATGGGTTTCAGACAGAAGCAAGGGATGACCGAGTACCTGAAATTACTTTACTACATTGTAAATTGATGCCATCGCTTCAAGGAAAATAAAAGCAAGAACAATACAGTGTTCTAGGATATTGTTCAAGCAGCTCTACAAACCTCTGCTGTTTAGGGTTTTAACAAGACTCATCGAAACTCACTGCAGCCTGCAGGCAGAGGGGCAAAGCAACAGCTTAGCACAGCTTTTTCCTTTATTCAAATTTATAAAATAACCCAACAGAGGAAGTCCTTTTCTGATACTCTTTGGTGATCCTTATAGTGAAAGGGGGAAATCCTTTCAAAGGAAGATTCTGCCTTAGGTCTGTAGCCTCCAAATTAGGGTTAATTTATTCATAATGTGAGACCGCCCACAAAATATTTCTATTTGAAAAAATAATTCCTAGTGAAAAACAAAATCTTTCCCCTGTGGTGCATGTAACCCAGCTTCTTCAGAACAAGGAGCAATGGTCTCAAGTTGCAGTGGGGGAGGTCTAGGTTGGATATTAGGAAACACTATTTCACGTGGAGGGTGGGGAAGCCCTGGAATGGGTTCCCTAGGGAGGTGGGGGAATCTCCCTCCTTAGAGGCTTTTACGGCCCTGCTTGACAAAGCGCTGGCTGGGATGATTTAGTTGGGGTCGGTCCTGCTTTGAGCAGCGGGTTGGACTAGATACCTCCTGAGGTCTCTTCCAACCCTGACCTTCTATCATTCTATTACAGCCCAGGGCTGGTGCATATGAACCAGAAAACAAAAGACAAGAAACACATTAGACACAAGAGTGAAAGTGACCCAGTCTGTTATCGCTGGCCAACTTGGGGGGAAATGCAAAAATGGTGCTGAGGTGAACAACTCTGCACCAGGTAAATTTCACCCATGGGTCAACAAGCAGCCGTCAGCTGTTTCAAGGACATTCAGTTACTTGGTCTGGATTTAAAGCAGTGATTTAGACCTGAAAGGAAAAGGGGAATTGAGTCCTGTTTATTGTATTGAGTATTAGTCACTTTATCAGTCTGATTTTTTTGATCGCCAAGATAAAAGAGCCTGCTCCTCCCCTTCAATTGCCACAGCCTTGCTTCAGGCGCGACTGGAAGCTTGACTGAACAGTGCTGCTCTACTCCCCTACGGAAAACCCCTCACATAGAATGGGAATGGCAGGGTAGAAGGGACCTCAAGAGGTCACCAAGCCAAGCCCCGAGCCGAGGCAGCATCAAGTAAACCTAGACCAGCCCTGACAGATGTTTGTCCAACCTGTTCAGAAAAACCTCCAATGATGGGGATCCCACAACTTCCTTTCCAGAGCTTCACTCCCCTGAGAGTTAGAAAATGTATCCTAATCTCTCACCTCAATCTCCCTTGCTGCAGATTAAACTTATTGCTTCTTGTCCTACCTCCAGAGGACATGGAGAAGGACTGATCACCATCCTCTTTGTAACAGCCCTTGGCATATTTGAAGACAGTTATCAGGTCCCCCGCAAGTCTTTTCTCAAGACTTTAAACCTGCCCATTTTTTTAACCTTTCCTCACAGGTCAGGTTAAACTGCTGATCATTTTTGTTGCTCTCTGGATTCTCTCCACTTTATCCCACTCTTTCCTAAAGTGCAGCACCCAGAATTGGACACCGCACTCCCTCTGAGGCCTTGCCAGTGCCATGCAGAGCAGGGTCCATTACCTCCCATGTCTTACATACGACACTTCTGTTCACACACCCCAGAATATCAGCCTTTTTCACAACTGCATCCCATTGATGATTCATTCAATTTGTGATCCACTATAAGCCCCCGATCCTTTTCGGCAGTACGACCCCCTAGCCAGTTATTCCCCATTTTGCATTTGAATTTTCCCTCCTAAGTGATGTACTTTGCACTTGTCTTTATTGAATTTCATCTTGTTGATTTCAGACCAATTCTCCAATTTGTCAAGGTTGTTTTGAATTCTAATCCTGCCCTCCAAAGTGTTTGCAACCCCTCCCAGCTTGGTGTCATCTGTAAATTTGATAAATATACTCTCCCCTCCATTATCCACATCATTAATGAAAATATTGAATAGTGCCAGCCCCAAGCAGGACCCCACTACATACATCCCCTGAATTTGACAAACCATCGATAACTACTCTGAGTACAGTCTTTGAACCAGTTGTGCACCCACTTTATAATAATCTCATCTGGAACACATTTGCTTACAAGAACGTCATGGGTGACTGTGTCAAAAGCCTTCATCAAATCAAGCATCTACAGCTTCCCCCCGCCCCCATCCACTAGGCCAATCTGCCCCCATCCACTAGGCCAATAACCCTATCAAAGAAGGAAATAAGGTTGGCTTGGCATGATTTACTCTTAAAAGCCATGCTGGCTATTTCTGATCACACCATCATCCTCTAGGTGCTTACAAACAGATTGTTGGTTAATGGGTTCCAATATCTTCCCAGGTATCGAAGACAGGCTGACTGGTCTACAAATTCCCCATGTCCTATTTGTTCCCCCTTTTAAGATAGGTACCATGTTTGCCCTTCTCCAGTCCCCTGGAACCTCAACTCCTCCAGGAGTTCTTGAAGATCATTGCTAATGGTTCTGAGATTGACCCTAAGGTGTGTAAGGAACTAACTGAAACAATTTCATCAGGCCTTGCCGACTTGCATCTATCGAACTTGCCTAAATATTCTTTAGCCAGTTCTTTCCCTATTTTCGCTTGTGTTCCTTCCCCCTGGTCTCTTTGGACGTTTTAGATATCCCTTTATTTCATAGGCTAATAGGAGGCAAAGGGAAAAAAAGAAAAGCTCAGACAAGATCAAGCTGTTCCATTCTTATCCATTCCATCTGGCAGGCTGCATTTGAGTGGTTCCAATGAGCGTGGCCTAGGATCCAGGCAGCCTATTGCATCCGATGACCAAGCACATGCAGGGGGCACGGGACAGATGGATTTTATTGAAACGCAGGCACAGCAAGTGGTTTCCCTTTTCAAGAGGAAGGAGAAGAAGCGTGTTGAGTGCTATGGGACCAACCCCAGCCTCTACCCCTGCCCTCCCCACGTGTGAGCACACACTGTTTTTCCTACTCCAGTCCCAATTTACTCATGAGATATAACTGCAGCATTACAAATAAAAACAAACTCCAAAAACAACCACCAGCTGTTCTGGAAGAAAAAAGAAAAAAAAAAAAAAGCAGTTATCCCCCCCACCCCGGAACTCTGTACAAGGACACGTTGAACCAGTCTCTGGTCAACTGCTAAAAAGGCCCCAGCCCTACGGCTCCAGCAGCTTGCCCAGGAATCGCAAGTTGAGGATCTTGAGCTGCTCCTCCAAGTCCATGCGGACGATGCCATCCTCTCCGTCGATGCTCAAGAGGACGCCTGTCGCCTCCCGATCCTCCCCCAGGATCACCTTCACCTGGAGAAAGCAAGCACAGGAGCTTGAGGGGCAAGGGGATTATGCTTCTGCTAAATTTGATGCTGGAACTCAGAATTGATTGTGTCTGCCGTGGGGTAAAAGGGGCAAGGCTTGAGCACAAGACTGCCTGCACAGGGTCAATAAGTTCCTATCTATGATCCTTATCTGGCTGCTCCTACGTGTATTTATCTTTCTGGCCCCCTGGGACATAGGACAGCGCTTTAGGATCCAGAGATGGAAAATGCTAAAAGAAAGCTAGGTATTAGTATTATCCCTATTGTACAGATGGGGAAACTGAGGCCCACAGAGTTAAAGTGACTTGCCCAAGCGAAAACTGAACCCAGCTCTCCAGAATCCCAGACTAGCCCCCTAACCACTGGACCATCCTTCCTCTCTAGGCATACGAACAACCCACCCCACCACATGGATTGCTCAGTACAATCCTGATTAGCTAAAGGCTGGTAGAAATATGTGAAGCGGTCGGGTGCGCTCAGGGTTGGAGGACACCCTAAGAACAGACATCAAGGTGGTCTCAGAGAAAGCAAGCAGTCTCCATTTCCATTTCTTGTCTATTTAGACTGGAAGCTCTTCAGGACAAGGCTGGTCTCTTACTCCTGTCTGGGCAGCGCCTGGCACAATGGGCACTCAGTGTGGGCACCAGAACATTAATAATCATGATCTCTGCAGTTTGGAAAGACCAGCTGCATCAGAACAAAGTTTGACCATCACATCTATTAAACCTGGCCGTTCTGAGTGCACATTAGATCTTTAACTTCCTATTAGTCACGATGGGGGTCCCGTACAAGCATAGCTGGCAAAGAAACTATTCTTTCTTTCTGGTGGTGCCCACAGCATGCGATGTGTTCCCAGGCACAGAAGACAGCATGGTCCCAGCTCCATGGAACTCACAGTCTAAAAACTTCTCCAAGGATGATTATATTGCAGGAGCACCTAGGAGCTGCAGTCATGGACCAGAATCCCATTGTGCCCGGCCCTGTACAGACAGAATAATACCTCCTGGGTGACCTTGGGCAATTCATTCTCCCCCGCACCCTCCTGTGCTTCAGTTTCCCCATCGGGAAAACAGGCATGACGACTCTGACCTCCTTTGTAATGCCCTTTGAGGTCTGCTGATGGAAAGCGTCAGGTAAGAGCGAGGGATGACTGTTGTAACTGCTTGAATGGGGACTATTTTCGTGGGACATATTACTACTAACTGAGGGACAATTC